TTTTTTCTCCAAAGCTTTAATATCTGAAGTTCGCTTGTAGTTGGTGGCATAAAGGCAAATAGTCAGTACAGCGAGCCTACGTGTCAGGTTATGAGGTGTAGAGAGGACCCAAACGCAAGACACAAGGACAGAAGAATGAAATAAAATTTCACTGTAGCTGAAAAAACAGGAACACTGGAATAATCAGAGCTGTAAGTGAAGGAGAACAACCAGAGGCTTTGAACAAGAACACATGACAGATCAAGATGGTGTAATTAACAAGAGATGACAATGAGAGTAGAGGGATAAACTACAACTAAAGTTCAACACAGTCAACAAAACCTGAAACTGCAATCAGAGGTAACTGGAAACATGGCGGTGGTCATCAACTTTCTGTTAACCCGCCTCTCGTTTGACTCATGCAGGGAGCTTGTTCCAGTTAAGAGGAACAAGTGGTTATTATGGAGCACCATGAAGAATATTAACAAACGTCTTAGCAGAAAATGCAACACTGCAAACAAAGCGAGAAGTGTTAGGTTGGCAAAAAAAGAATGCATAAATGTAACTGGTGTGTTCCTGCATTGTATCTGACAATGAAAGATGAAAAGAAGACCTCCAAGTAAATAACTGGCCCGCTCAAGCTCCTATAACCAAATATAAAGCAAGACTGATCTGTTCAAGCAAGCATTAACAGCACCTATACACATACGTGGCACACACATATTCACAGCATGTAGTAAAGACAGGCGTAATGATGACAACACAATCAGAAACATCAGGGTGGATAAAGGTACAATTAGTGTTGGAAAAGAAATGACACCGACCTCTCCCGCAGGGGAATTGTAGAAAAAAAGGAGAGGCCAAAGGGGTACCCCAAATTTATAGGGTTGCACCAAAGAAGAAGAAGAAAAGGATGAAGAGGGGCTCTAACTGATAATGAAGATAACTACAGGCTCGGAGGTCCTAAAAGTCACGTATACCAGGAACAGTTTGGGGTTTAGAACACATTTTGTGTGATTATAATAATATGTAATTTACGACCCAGTTACATATTTCACATCTACCTCTTTCATTTGCAGTTGAAGGAGATACTCTGGTTTTGCCTGAGCTGCCATCACACACACCTCACCCCCAGAGATCAGCAGTCATAGCAAAGTAGCATATTCATAACCATAGCACAGCATAGTTAGCTCATTTATTTCACAGGGTGAGGACAACGTGCAGCATTCTCCTGACCTGTGGCCTCCACCTCTAGACCTCCTGGGAATGTCTCCAGCATTAAAGGTCCCATTGGGCAGCATCCAGAAATGGAACCACCAGGACTCTTCCTAAAGGTGGCCGTCTGGCCAATCTGAGTGATCAGGGTAGAAGGGCCTCAGTCATGGAGGTGACCAAGACCCTGATGATCGCTGCGGGGATGTTTCTTGACATCAGGAACCATGAGACTAGTCAGGGTCAGGGGAAAGATGAATGCAGCAGTGGACCTCAGACTGCAGTGAAGGTTCATCCAACAGGACCAAAGGAGTGGTTTCTGGACCGGTCTGTGCACAGAGCTCAAACTTGAACCTGGTTGAACATCTCTGGATCTGAAAATGGCTGCGCACTGACGCACCCCATCCAACCTGAGGGAGCTTGAAGGGTTCTTCAAAGAACAGGTGTGCCAAAGGCAGTGAATACTTTTGTTCAGGTTATATTTTTGTTTGTATTCCAAAGAATCTTTTTTCACTTTGTCATCGTGTGTAATCTGAACATTGTTCTGACTCGTGTCTGTGTAAATCCTGTGAATAGCTGCTTTTGGCCTGGTGGAACTATTTATAATTCTAACAGCTGTTAGAGGAAATTACCCCTTGTCTCCTGTCCATACTGGAGATACTGAGTGTGGCTGCGACTCCTTGAACTTCTTCTGGGACTATTTTTTAGTTCCTAGGATGTTTTTTACAACACGTGAAACTTTTGTCATCATGTTACACGAGGAGTGTGCAACGTGTGCCAGAAAGCATGAATGACACACAAACGTACTCTTAGTTTGTTGGAATCTGCCCACATTCATGAAACATGTTTTAGAGGAAACCACAGCAAAAACACAGAGCACTATTTTCAGATTAAACGAGGTGTCGCCAGCCGTGACTGTGACGACCTGCTGCTGATGGTAAAAACAGGTGTGTGTTTTTAAGGCCAAAGACCAGTGAGTTGCAGAGCTCTGTAACGCTCCGCATTTACTCCCAATCATATTTTCCTAATGCAGAGATCAGAGTTCAGAATGCAGAGAGGCAAAACCAGTGTTGTCCTCACAGTTTGCTTCACAGGCATCAGGCCGCTGACTGTGAGTGTCTCAGCTGCTCTGGCACGCTGCTCCTTGTGCAGCCGAAGCCGTTAATTATGGCAGCCGGTTCACAGTTTCGATAGCAGTGCTTTGGCGCTCTGCGACATCCCAACTGTCAGTTTAATCATAGAGCGCGGGGTCGACGACGCCGACCGCGCCGGGCTGTCTCTGCCTCGCCTCATCCCACACTGCAAAAAATGCCACAATCCCAGTTTCTCAACCTCTGTGACTCATGATGTGTCACAGACATGGAACCCACAGCGTGGGCTGGAGTGAGTGTCGAAGTGAATTGCAGGTCAACAAGGTGTAAAGTTCAGCATCAGGTTAATACCAAAGAAAGTACACGACTTCTTTATTGCTTTATTGTTTGGATTCATGAGGAAGATAAATGTGTAACATTGGAGAAGGAAACTCAGCCAGATGTGGACTGCAGCTGTAAATCAGAGGGTTGGTGGGGTTCTGCATACATTCGGTCATTACATCAATGCAAAATCTCCATCTTGCCAAATCATTTGTGTCTGTATCAAGTCCTAAAATCAGTCTTTGTCTGTTTTATGTGTTTGTAATTCAAGTTCTCAGTGTTTGTATTTTAACACATGCGATAATGAGACCATTTTATTTGTTGTTTTTAATGAAAGAATGTTTTAAGACCTGAACGAGACTCTTCTTGCAGTGTGCAGGATTCCTCCACTTCATCGCTTCATCTGGTGGTTTATGTTTCGTGGTTTCCAAAAACAAACACACAGTACAGTACAGCGCCGTCAGCGTGACTTGGTTCAAGCAGAGTGCACTCTGAAGTAGTTTGCTCCCAAAGCAAAGCATCAGATCACATCCATACCAGCTCTAGTGCTGATGAACCTGGTACATGTCCATCCATCCATCTTTTCCCGCTTGTCCAGGGCCAAATCTACTTGGTCTATCCAAACAAACCGGTAGAGTTCATGCACTGAAAACTGTTTAGGGTGAGATGGGAGAGGTACTCAGTTGGGTTTAGGCTTTAGAATCTGAACCTCATTCTTGGCGGCAGAAAATTTGACAAAACTGAAGTGAGGGAGTGAGAACAACCTGAGACTGCACTCCTGTGTGAATTATGGCGGTAACACTCCTGCAGCCGCCCTTATGTGTAGTTTTATTGCTGTTTCTAAGTGATAACTCTTAGAAACAGCAACCATGGCGATAACAGCTGACTGACCCTATCAGTTATACCTTGGGATTAATTATTTTAATTGGTTTTTAGCTTAAAGGGAAGTTTCATTTATAGATACAGCCATTGTACTTAGTAAGAATAACACAGTAAACAAAAACACATACCTGACCAGTCGAGATGAATATCTTTGATGGTGCAGATTTCAGCTTTCAGCATTAGAGCAGACAGTACAGGTGTTTGGATGAGTTTATTTCTGAACAGCTGACTGTACGGTATGTTGTTAAGCATTTTCCTCGCCTGCAGCTGCCACTCGAGGTCGATGTGAGTAAAGATACTAAAACGAGCTCAGAACATCGAGTGAAATCACACAGCAGCTTTTCATTTGCACTAAATCCTGTTTGCTTTTGTAAAAGGCTGTTGGTGTTCAAAGAAGGTTTGCTGTTCCCGGAGGCTTTTACACTGAAGCTTTCCCCCCTCCACACACACACACACACACACACACACACACGCCCAGCGACACATCAGAAGTGCTGCCTGAATTTTGGAAGGCTCATTAATGGTCCATTTCTGTGTGTGTTGATTTGATGTGTGTCACCCGCCACCGTGAAGTGGCAGCAAATACGACATCCTGTCCTGGAAAGGGGCGAAAATAGCTGCTCATTAACTCGCTCTCAGTCTCTCTCTCACTCTCTCTCTCACACACACACACACACACACACACACACACACACACACACACACACACACACACACGGAGGCAAACACAGCTGGATAAAACTACGTAGACACACATTTTATTTGATCTCAAACACTTGAGGCTACAGACTTGTGCTCACACACATGTACGAAGGGTTACGTTACCATGACTGTATAAACTTTATAATAAATAACTGTAAATAACCAAGATTATTGAAAATATGTGTAAACGTGTTTTAAATATATTATAAAATAAAATCGATGTGATTAGCTTTGCCTGTTCTGCAGTTATTGTGAGCTAGAGCACTTTTTCTAAAAGGCTACATGGAAAAACCAAAATGCATTTTTCAGATAATATTTTGTACTGAACACAACTGTTTTTTTTTCCATTTGCAATATTTGGAGTCTGTGCATGGCTCAATAGAGCAAACTCTCTACCCTCCTCTGTCCATATGTGGAAAGCTACAGTAGAGGCCGAGAAAGCAGCAGAAAGCCACATGAACTCTAGCTCTGCTCCAGCACAGGACTCTGAATCGACTGTTTGGCTCCACTTCTGTTTTTTGCCATAACTACATTTAATGGGAAGAGGGGAGAATTATTCCAGAATTATTAGCATATTTAGTCAAGAAAGTCTGACCCGAGTTTTCATATTAATCATCTGCAGGTTAGAGTTTTGCAGGATGACAGCAGGCAGGAGGACAACAGGCTCAAGCTTCAGAGTTTGAAAAGTGAGGTTACTGGGGAACCACCAGCAGGGGGCGACTTCTCTGCTTGAAGATGAATCTTTGAGTTTGGCTTCCACTGGCAATAACAAGTCTTATAGACTACTTGCACTAGGACATGTGACGTATTTCCGTTTCCAAATAGTACCGCTTGTGCGTTTCCGGTACGTTTGCTTATCTATCGGTAGCTATGCTAATGTCGCTTCAGAATGAGTATAAAAAGGAAAGTATTTAAAACAGAACATTTTCAAAAACAGGAGAAGAAATACTCCGAGCATTGCTGTGTCCCACTTTGTTCAGCTTCAGCCAAATTTAACGGCATACTAAGTTTTCATGCCTTTCCGACCCATTCCGACTTGAGAAGACAATGGCTGGGAAATATACGCCGGGATCATTTCACGATTACCTCTCACACCAGGGTCTGCTGCAGACACTTTGCCAGTGATCAACTCATAGAGCCAACAACCCTCGATGGTCGAAGGCGGCTTATTAAAGGTGCTGTACCAACACTTTTTGAGTGGAATGGCTATAAAGTTGAACCACCGCGGCGTAGTGTTTGGGAGAGAACGGAGCGACGCCCTGAACTAGTTCCTCCTGACGATCAAGAAGAGCACAGTCTTACAAGAGATCATGACTACTGCTCAGTCCCTGAGCCATCTGCATTGGACATATCTGCATCAGCTGCAGAAGACCTGTCCGAAGACGTGGAGACTCTGAGGAAGGAAATACAGGAGTTACGTGTCCAGCGAGAATTTGGGTTACAGCGTTTTGCTGGCTCCGACACTGACATCCGATTCTATACCAGGTACACCTAAGTTCTATCCAAGCTAACTGTTTAAAATATACCAAGGTCACCATCAGTTAAATTTAGAAAGTTTTTCCAGTCTTAATGAAAACAAAATAGAAATGTACTTTTTCTCTGCTGATTGTATGTTTTATGTAGATGCTTTAGTATTTAAACGATATCCTAATGCTACAGGTAAAATACAACACCAAATACTCTTAATCAGACTATTTTATACAGCATACCATTAGCATATTTGTCACAGTTTATATTATTTTTATGTCAGTGTGTAATGTTAATTAATGATTGACATGATGTATGTCTCTCTCATGAATAGATTTCCAAGCTATGATCATTTGATGGCATTCTGGGTTTTGATTGAGCCTTGCATCTATAAAATGATCCGGGTTTCAAGAGCCAAGTCAGCGGACTACAGCTTTCTTGGCTGCTGCCTCAAAGCACATTGTGCGCTGTCTATCTTGTGTGCTGCACAATATCGTTTATTATTTAGTATCTACTGATATCTACTGCTAGCTAGTTTATTGTGATGGTGCCGTTTTTTTTATTATGTTGCTCTTTGTTGTTTGCTTTCTCTTCTGTGTTTTTTCTCCATACAGGTGACCCATGTTTTGTTTTTTTTTTCTTTGTTTGTTTGTTTGTTTTTCTTTCTTCCCCGCTTTCTCACCGTCTCTTCTCCCCTTTGTTTTTCTTTCTTCCCCCCCTTCTCATCGTCTCTTCTCCCCTTTGGTTTTCTTTCTCTCCCTCTCTTTCTTTCATTCTTTCTCCCTGTCCTATCCCCCAATCATGTCTGTCCCGTTTGTAGCAACTGAAAATAAAATAAATTCATAATTATAATAAAGGTCAATCAAATGGACCAATATGGCAAGGCCATGATGATCCACTTGGTAAAATAAATCCGCTTGGCATCTTTCTTGGCCTTAAGACAACAATTCTGATGGCTAAAGATCCAAACGGGACACAAAAAAAACCAAAAAACGATCGGAACTCAGTCAATGTCACAAAGCACACGTCACTTTATCTGACATGGCTTCACAAACATGATGGCGAGTTGAGCGGCCTCCCCAGACACCAGACCTAGAGTAGACCTCTGTGGAGCAGGAGGCTGGCAGCATGAACGTGCAGCAATGCTGAAATAATCAGATGCAATCATTTCTCAGAGGAAGGTTTCCAACATCTTGAAGTCAGAATGTTTACGGTGATCCTAAAAATGCGCTAGGTTGGTTTTACTGACGCTTTGTCAGCTCAGCTCTTTTATTTTGAAGCAAAGTTTTCTCTGATTTGGCAGGAAGCTGCAGAGAGAGAGTCAGCAACAGTCGAGGAGACTGACGGGATTCTGGAAGTCGACGTGTTTTGTCAGCTGTGCCGGTCAGACGGGAAGTAGCTTCAGAGTCGTCAGGGTTGGGTGACGCTCCAGACGCACGACATGTGACACAGCGTGTGAGCGCTCAGAGACTCCATACATCAACCTGACAGCATCCAGCCTGGGAGGTCGAGAAACGGTGCTGCTGCTGACAGAAGAGACGTGCCGGAGAGAAAACAGAGCAGTCCTTATGCAAACATGCCTTCATGAAGTACAGCTTCAAATGTAATAGAAGATAAAAGAAGTCTGTTGTATTTGATTTACAAATGAGCTGCAAAACAAACCTAAAGAGATTAAGGAGCGCTCTGGATCCTGATGATCAGCAGTTATATTTAAAATGCCCGATGATTCATCTTTGGGTTAGATTTGGTCACTATCTAACTCACATTGTAGAGATGAATGTATCTTTGGATGTGGCAGCAAACTATAGCTGAACATAGACTCCCAGGTGTGGAAGTCTTATGAAAAGATGACTGTTGCTTTGTGTTGGAAGTGAAGGTCACTGTGTGAGTATGTGTAAGTTCAATAAGGAGGATGTGTAATCACCCATCAGTCTGCTAGTCTATCCTTTACGTCGCTCCCATGTTTCTCACCTTGTCAAACTCAACACTGACTTCATTACTCTGGTGCAATCATTTTCCGCAGTCTGCGACCCAATCAGCCTCCGCTCTGTGTGATGTAATGTAAGCACCTCCTTCTCATCTCCACCCTATCCTGCTCACTCAGCCTTCATCTTCACCGTCGCCAGCGTCTTAGCTCTGGGACGTCCTGTCCTAACTCTTATCACTTCTGGGACCCTGTTCTGCTTTGACTGTAAATGGTTTCAATTAACTTAATTGAATCATGATCAGTTCTCCCAAACAAACTGCTGTAGTCATTTTTTTAAGCCTCATCTCACTGTGATGTGACATTTTGGCTTCATCTACATGTACAGGTGTATTTCATATTTAATTCAGTTCAGTTTTATTTATATAGTGCCAAATCACAACGCTTCAAGGTATGTAATATTGTAAGGTACAGACTCTACAGTATTAAAGAGAAACCCCAACAATCAGATGGCCTCTGTGAGGAAGCTTTTGGCAACAGTGGGAAGGAAAAACTCCCTTTTAACAGGAACAAACCTCCACAGAGCCAGGCTCAGGAAGGGGCAGCTACCTGCCATGACTGGTTAGGAGTGAGAGACGAGAAACACACTGTTGAAGCGTGTGTAATCTTTAAGCCCAATCTTAAAAGTAGTGTAATTCCAGAAGATGAAAAACTAAACAAAAACCCAACTTTATTAGTCATGAACACACAGTGTAAAGTTTGACTTTATCCAGTGTGAGCTTAGCCTGAAAATCACACTAAGAATGACAAAGTTTACAAAATGGACTAAATGTTTTGTTCACAATGACCACGAGAAAGAAGTCAGAAAGTTACGAGCAAACCAAACCTTGATTTTGCTTAAACAATCAAAAACGGATGTGGGTGGGAGAGTAGCTGTGGGTGTGGAAGATAAGTAGAGCTGGGTGTCGTCTGCATAGCAGTGAAATTGGATGTTATATTTCTTGAAAATATTACCTAGGGATAGGAGATAGATCATAAAAAGTAAAGGACCCAGGACAGAGCCTTGGGGTACACCAGAGTTAACTGGAATAGATCGTGATCTGTGAGTGAGTAACTGAACAAACTGTGAACGGCCAGATAAATATGAGGTAAACCAGGCGAGTGCTATATCGTTGATGCCAATAGATTTTAATCTATGAAGAAGGGAGTGGTGGGAGCATCGAAAGCTGCCAAAGGTCAAGGAGAATGAGGATGGCGATGAGTCCAGAGTCAGCTGCAAGCAGAAGATCATTTGTGATTTTTATTAGAGCTGTTTCTGTTCTATGAAATGAATGAAAGACAGACTGAAACTGTTCGTACAAGTTGTTTCCAGTGAGGTGTCCATGAACCTGTGCAGCCACTATCTTTTCCAGAATTTTGGCTACGAGAGAATTTTGGCTGAAATTGCCCTGAAATTATTTAAATTTGTAGGGTCTGAACCATTCTTTTTCAGTATTGGAGTTATCATTGCAGTTTTAAGAGAGGATGGAAAGGAACCAGAGATAAATAAGAGAGGAGTGTGTGATATCAATGAGCCAAGAGAGGGGAGTGAAAGTTTAACAAGATTAGTGGGCAGAGGGGCATTTCGTCCAGACCCAGAGGCTGCGTCCAGTTTTCATAGTCTCTGTAAAAAACATCTATTTTGAATGTTAGTGAATGCAGATCAACAGAATAATTAAATCAGACTCATTCAGCTTCACTCTGTGTTGTTCTGCGTCGCCTGCAGCTCAAACACCAAACAGACCAACAGACACAACAACTGAGTGAAAGTTCAGAGAATGGAGGTTTACTCTGGTAGAGCAGATGAATAAACAAATCCTCATGCTCGACCGCTCTTTAAACAAACGTCCAAGCTGTCATTTTTGACACTGCGTTGATGTTGGCTTTGAATCAGAGAGACATCGAGGACATCACGGAAACATTTATAGTCAGAATCAACATTACAGACTGAGAAAATCACAGATTTTCATGTTGGAACAGTGACAGCATCATAGTATTCACAGTGTCAGCTGGTGGCAGTCATATTCCACCCTGTGGCTACAGCAACAGAGATGTAGGTCAGTGTGCTTATAGCTGTCTTGGCTAACTGCATCCATAACATGAATTATTATGTTAACGGTTGCTCTGATGAAAAGAGCAGAGATGCATTTCCTCTCTGAGTAGACCCATGAATGATAATGTTGTACAGCTCTGGGTGGAAAAAGCTTTTTAAACCATATTTTGGGGCCAAATCAAAAGTAAAACCAGCATTTTTTAAAAATGAATAAATAAATTTGATTTTACTGGTGATTCATTGTACCCAATTTCAAAATAACTGCCCAGAGACATGGCAAAAATCGTGATGCCAAAGTGAAAGACTTGCTGCTTTTATCAAAGTCATATTATACAACTTTCTTCCTAGACAGTTATAAATGGTAAATGGACTGGTTCTATATAGCGCTTTTCTAATACACTATATACACTACAGAGCTTTTCTTTCACAGCTACATTTGTGTTTAAATAAAGGATAACCGCTGGTTATCCTTTATTTAAACACACTGAGCAGGAGGAGGTTGGGGTGGATGGTGGGCTTTACAGGTGTTCACATTCAGACTTCCATCTGTCGCTGTTTCAAGGCAGCAAGAAGCTCGTTGGTCAAGGTTAAACCACAATTGTGGCTTTAATTAAATGTAGACATTCATCTAACATTGTGTTTCTGGTTCCAGTTGAATTCCTTGAAAATAATATCACATTCTCTTTCAGATTTCTACCTGATTAAATTTGATGTGAGTCAAACTGAGTTGTGCTGAATTAAATTATTGCACACTGGTCCAGCAGCAAAGGAGTCAGTGCCTCAGGCAGCGTGGACGCCGATAGCTTCGATGGGTATTAAAGCTGATGAGCCGGGTGTCCAGTTAATTTGTGTTGGCTGTAAAAAGCAGTGTACAACGCATCCACTTAACACACTGTTTGCTGCTACAGCTACACATGTTTCTTTTCCAACTATTTATTTATAAGTGACTTATGTATGTATGTATGTATATATATGTATATATTGTACTATTCTTAGTTAGCGTATTGTCTGTCTTGTCTTAATGTTGGTTTAAAATGGAGCACTGTAACAAAAAATAATTTCCCCCAGGGATCAATAAAGTATTCTGATTCTGATTCTGATTCTGACCCGTGGGAAACAGAGGGGAAGGTGGTGCTGATCTACAAGCTTATACAGCAGCTGCAGCTTGGTGCTAATAAATCACACAGGAGTGACTGTTTGGCTGTTCGGTTCTGGATCAGATAAGTTTGGGGAAACATTTTCATTTTATGTTCATAAAAAGATGTAAAATCTCAGCACATCACTGGATTTTTTAGGTGCAAACCTGAAAGGAAAGCAATGGTTTATCAATAGGAATGTCAGCCAAACAGGATGATCTTCAGAGGATTTCAAACATTGAAATAAAGAAAGTTTACCCAGAATCAAACGACTCTTACTTGCTTGTCTTGTCTGTAATACATGTGATGGATCTATTTTTTTAATTATCTGTGTCCAGTGTTGGGGAGTAATGGAATACATGTACCGCCGTTACGTATTTAAAATACAAAATATGAGTAACTGTATTCTGTTACAGTTACCATTTAAAAAAGGTGGTATTTAGAATACAGTTACTTTGTTGAAATAAATGGATTACACGGCGGTATTTTCCTGTTTCATATTGTGGTGGGTCAGGACTGTTTGGGTTTTGTTTGACATGTTCTGTTGTTCCAGGTGGCAGCGTTACGGTTGCCATGGTTACAGGGCGACGCTCTCTCTCTCTCTGCGACTGTGTGTTTCCTGGGTGAGAGAGCGTCTTTTTGTTGTTGTTGTGCTAAGCTAATAGGCAGAATGCTACAGGCATAGCCCTAAAGAATGTAGCATCATGGGCAGTGTAGTCCGTGCTGCTGGGAGAATGGACTGCCATACCCGTTATGTGTCTGTGAGCGAGGGAGGGAGGGAGAGAAAGGAAAAGTACGAGCTGTCATCGAGCAGAAACGGGAGCTGGAAGCATGTAAATATAATAATAACCACTGCAGCCAAGAAGAGTGTCTGACGAGTCCAGCTGTAAGTAAGCTATTAAGACTGTACGCTTTGTTCATGTTTTCAATAAGTTCCGTTGGAGCAGCCTTTCAACGCCTCTCTCTGTCTCTTGCTAGCAAAGTTGACCCAGACAACAAAGTAAAGCTATTTTTCAGCTACAAGCCGACACGTATTAGTCAGAGGTCCCTTTACTACGGTTCGGCGCCGCGGACCTTCAGTAACAGTAATAAGTCACAGCAATAGTACATCCATGTAGTTGTAAACAGCATGATAATATATTAAGTAATCCAAAGTATTCAGAATACGTTACTCTCATTGAGTAACGTAACGGAATACGTTACAGAATACATTTTGGGGCATGTATTCTGTAATGGAATACATTTTAAAAGTAACCTTCCCAACACTGTCTG